TACGCCGATCTCGGCTCCGGCTCCTGCGCTTACGGTCCCGGCTTCGAGAGCGGCTGTGGCTACGCTTCCGATGCCGGTTCTCCTTGTCCCGTTCTGGACAAGTGTGAGAAGAGATGGGATGAGTGGAGAGAAAGTGCAGGCCCAGCCCACCCTGCGTGGTGGCTATGCCAAGACCCGGGGAGGCCACCCCCCCCAGGGGAGGGCTTTAATGGAGGGAGACAACAGGCTTCCTGGGTCCACACCCGAGTCCCCAAGGACTCTGAAGGGACCAAAGGGACAGGGCCTGGAAATGCCCCCGGGGTGTAAGATACCTGAAGATGCTCAAGAGGAGCTGAGGAGCCAGAGAAGACAGAGGAGGCTGGCTCCTGGTCCCCCTCGAGGGCTGAGGGGCCTGACCCCAGGGTCGTCCCTGAGAGGGGCAGGGCTAGAGGCTGGGGAATCAAGAGACCCAATGATGTTTTCCTGAAGAAACTCAGCAACCCCTCAGGAAAAACCTCTGCAACCAGCTGGCACCCACAGTCCCACCATAAGGCCCCAAGGGTCAGGTGCCAGGCAGGATCTAGTAACCCTAAGAAATGAGGAAACTCAACTCCATCCCTTCCCAACCAGGTGAATAATGTAAGAGCAAGCACCCTCTGAAAAAGAGGACTTCTTTCTGAATGTACAGAAAGTAAGGAAAAGATGCCTCTCCAGTACTTCAACTGGTGGTCCAGAGCAGCCTCATCCAAAACCACCAGACCCTCCCTGCCTGACTCTCTCAAAGCCAAAGGCAGGATGGGCTAGACAGAATAAGGACTTGTGTCTTCACTAATATCTATTCTGCTTCTTAGCCTCTTTGCCTCAGAGACTATGGCTACTAACAGAGAACAGCCTTGCAAGAAAAACTACAGAACCTTAAGAGGGCAAAGGCAGGCAGATGGATCTCTTCGACTTCGAGGCCAGCCTAGTCTACACAGAGTTCCAGGCCTGCTGGACCTACAAAAACACAACTATATAACCTCAATTCTGGAGACTGGCCCTTCAAGGTAGACGCTAAACCAGGATCACTTCAATGTATTTCCTTAATTCCAAGGTACCACTGATTTCTCAACCGTCAAGTCTACACAAACACATATACACAAAGTCAGGAGTAAGGAGGCACATTAATGTTCCCAGCATGTGGAAGGCTGAGACAGGAACTGGAGGCTAGTAAGTTAAAGGAGACCCTGTGACAGACAAAAACAAACTTGAAAATTGTTAACAGGTGTATCCTAAAAGTACTGACTTCTAAGACTAGCAGTAGGAAAAAGCAATGAAAAAGATCTCAAAGTAGATTTTAAACTCACCACACATTTGTATTATATATTTTTCTGATGCAAGAAGTAGCAAAATTTGATGGCCGGGGCGGTGGTGGCGCACACCTTTAATCCCAGCACTCGGGAGGCAGAGCCAGGCGGATCTCTGAGTTCAAGGCCAACCTGGTCTCCAAAGCGAGTTCCAGGAAAGGCGCAAAGCTACACAGAGAAACCCTGTCTCGAAAAAACCAAAAAAAAAAAAAAAAAAAAAGAAGAAGTAGCAAAATTTGAAATCTATTTTAACTCCATTAGCTACTAATACTGAGAAAAGCACCCAGGAAAGAAAACACAATCTCAAGATGCTTCTATCAGAAACTACAGACAATACTTTCACTTGCATGTAATTATCACTATTGCTTTGGAAAAACTAGAAGCTCATATAGCAGATAAAAGGAAACTGAGGCATGAGGAGACCATGACTTGCTCAAAGCCCAACGGCTAAGAAACAATGAAGCCCCAACTCAAATTGCAATGCCAGTAAGTTAGACACCAGGCTGCATTGTTGAGGATCAGGCAGAACATTCACTTCAGTCTGGGCACAACTACTAACGACAAAGGATTGATTTTATTATTTGCATTCACACACCCAAAAAATAAAAAACCTACCAATCAAGAGTTAGACAGAGGCAATCAATGGAATATTGGGACAGGCACAGCACCAGGCAGCTCCGACTCCACGCCTGAAGTGGCACCACTTATAAATAAATCTCAAATGTCTTTCCTGCTGCTAAGCCTCAAAGACCGGCGAAGAACTCCAGAGAGGAAGCAATGACAACACCGGGTGCCTAGAGCAAGCAGGGAAGACTTAGGGGGCTGAAAAGGGCTGAAGCTGAGAAATACAGGGAGGCTGGGTCAGAGACAGATACCCACAGGCAGGGTGACAAGTTGGCAGAATTTTCTTCCAGCAAGGCAAGCGCCTTCCACATGACGACGCTGGCCAGTTGAGAAAATGGAATTTTCATTTGCTCAAAATGCTATACTACAGTTGTCTTCTGTACAAAGCTCCACCAACCAACCCTTGGGTGCCAGGTCTCAGGCCCTGTTTCCAACATCAGCAGGGACACTCTGGAACTACAACTCATCTACCACAGCCTCAAAGGCCAGCTAAATCAGCTCCACTTGCAGCACAGTGCAACTGGCTTTGCAGTCAGAGCTCTAAATAAAAGCAGGATCTTAGCTTTAACATCCAGTTTTCTCTTCCTTGAATGAAGGTCACATCTACACCACTCAGGTCTCGAGGTCTTACAGGAGTAACACTGGGCATCCACTTTCCCCACCATTCTATAACTAGAACACCAGGTCTACCTGAGCAACGATCACCTGTCTACACAGTAACAAATATGGCTAATCAAGCATTTACTGTAATCCAAGCCACATACTATATGTGCGCATTGCTCCACTTAATCTCAGCTCCAGCTTTCGACTAAGTAATGCCTGGAGCTTTTTTCTTTTTTAAAGGAAAAATAAAAACTTTATGAGTCTCAGTTTTTTGCCCGATCAACAAGAAATTATTTTGTCCTCAGAAGCCTGTTACAAATGATTCACTTAAACCTATTTAGCCGGGCGGTGGTGGCGCACGCCATTAATCCCAGCACTTGGGAGGCTAAGGCAGGTGGATCTCTCTCAGCCTGATCTACTCAGAGTTCAAAGACAGCCAGGACTGTCTTCCCCCTGCCTTGGGGGAGAAAATTAGTTATTAACAAATTGCCATGCCTTGACACATGGTAAGCCCTGAGTTTAATTACAACTATAATCAATGTATACCACTGTTACTAATCTCAAAAACCCAGTAACTATACAGTGATAGTCAGCATACAGGAGACAGATACAAAGGTATTAGAGCATCATATCTACCAACAGCAAATGCAGGTATTTGAACTCAGGTATTCAATTCCTACGCAGTAGACTACTCAAAGAAAACACCAATGGCACTCAGAAAAATTACTTTTTCCACGTACACTGTTTCAGGTACTCTCTTCTCAACTCTAGCTTCAATTCAAAGAATTCTGATTGCCTCATCCAGTCCTGCAAACACCAACCAGGAACAAAAGGCTTGAGCATCAATCCTCAAGAAACTTAAGCCCTTCTTCAGTCTCAAACCAAAACAGAGAAGGTTGTAGGCATGTCTTACAAGAACCCTTTCTTCTGGATCCCTAAACTCATCAGCACCGACACAGCCTGTCTTTCTGATCCAAATTCACAATACAAGATCCTACCTTGGAGTACCTGCATCCACTAATCCATTAATGTCAATTAGGCCAGCTCCCTCTCTTTCTCATTTTGTTGACTATTTTACCTCCACGGTGAGACTGCGTCTAAGTACCCGAGTTGGAAATGATACAAGGACTTGGGGTTTGCCTAAAATCAGGGATGTGGAAGACACTCTCAGAAACTGTCAGCCGCCAAAAACCCCAAGGCATACAAGATTTGTGTGTGATGGGCACAAAGAATGCAGTGGCTTCCCCGACTTTGGCGGGCAAACAGGTGTCGGACACATTTACATATAAGGCGCCGGGTGGCGGCTGGGACAGAAATATTCTGGCGGGAAAGCTCCAGAGAAATCGAGGAAATATATAACAGGCTCGAAATCTGCAAGCACGGGGAGATTGCAGCGCCAGTCCACGTGAAGGAAAGGGGGGGGAGGGAATGCCTCGCCACCGCCATTTTGGAAACAAAGGGGGCGTGGAGAAAGGAAAAGTACGCCCGACCGGAAGCGGAAGTGCCAAGGCAGCAAAAGAAAAAAGGCTGGATTAAGGGACCTAAATTCATCTCTTGCTCAAATAAAAGAGAAAAACCTAAAAACCAAAAAAAAAAAAAACCTCACGTAGAAGAATGCGGCGCGCTCTCAACGCGCCGACGCAACGCGCCGCCTCCGCCGGGACCACGTGGGCGCGGGAGAGCGCTGCGCGCACGCGCCCTGCGCCCGGCCCGCGGCCCCTTCCCTCGGCGGGGAGAAGGGGCGGTCACGTGGACGGGGCGCGCGGACGGGGGGGGGGGTTAAATCATGCGGCCCCGGGGAGGGGGACCCAGAGGGAGAAACGGCGGAGGGGGCACGGAGCGAAGCAAGAGGCCGCCCCACAGCCCCGGCGCCCTCACCTTGTTTATTCTCGTTGAGCTGCCGCTCGAACTCGTCGAAGTCCGACATGCTTAGGCGGCCGCGTAGGGCCCTGTGCAGCTCTCGCCTCGCCTTGCCGCCCGCCCGCTCCGGCTACTTCCGCCGCTGGCTCCGGCTACTTCCGGCCCCCGCCGGCGCTCCGTCGCCTACCTAATCAAGGCCCCCCCAAGCCCCGCCCCGCCCCGACTCCGCCCCCTCGCCCCGCCCCCCGCCGAGCCGCCCCGAGCCCGGTTCCGAAGCCAGTCGGCTATTCTCGGCCGCAGACCGAGGAGTCTGCGGGCGGCGGCGGCGGCGGCCCTCGGAATCACCCAAGGCGAGGATTTTGCAGGCTGCCCAAGTTTCGGCAACTTTTCGGAGACTAGTGTCTCAACGTTCGGAGGATTCCGTGGGTCCTCGCGTTCCCTCCGCCAGCCCCTTCTAAAGGTTCGGGTTTTTCCTACAGCTCAAGCCGCCCCAGGCTCTGGCTTGCTCTGAAGATCCGCCCCACCCCTCGCTGGCCCCGTCCAAGCAGTCGGTCTCTTCCAACAATCCCAACCGTCCAGACCTTCGGCTCTTTCCGAAGGTTTCCAGCGCTCGCTCACGGCCCCTCAAGAGACTAAGCCCGATTCTAATCTTCGGCTCTTTCCGGAGGTTCCACTGGGTCACTCCGCCCCTTCCGGAGACTTCCGTTCCCTTCCGCCACGGCTTCGGGAAGGCCTCAGGCACCGGGGGAAACTTCGGCTTTTTCCGCCGTCGCTTCGGCTCCTTTCGGCTCCAAGACCCAGAAAGGGAGGGAGTGCAGAGGAGAGGTGGGTCGGGGAGCTACGGGAGAGGGGGCGGGGTCTCACTCCGGGCGCCTGGCTCTCTCGGCGAGGCGATCGGGAAGAAAGGCCGACCTCGCGGAAGGCCAGGGAAGGTGTGCGGGACAATCGCAGCCAGTGGGGGCCACGGGGGCTGGAGGCCTCTGCGGAGGTTTTTTGGTTTTTTTTTTAGCGCGGCTCGGGGCGCCTGCGCAAGATGATTAAGGAGGCGGCGGGAGGCGTTTCTGCGCCTGCGTAGCGGCCAGTCGGTCTCAGTCCACCTTGCGCGTGCGCGGGGACTCCCCCACGCCCACCCCTCCCGTGGGTGCCAACCCCGGGACCGTTAAGCCAGACTGCGCTCTCCCGGTTGCCTTGGCGATCGCGTTCACGTTCCCACCCCCGCTCCTGCCCAGCGCGCAAGCGCAGGACGTGCCCGCTCCGGGCCTGCCGCCTCCCGGCCCCTGGCGGGCGGGCAGGACGGGCAGGCGAGCAGGACGGGGTCCACACGGCGCCTCCCCCCGGCAGGCAGGCTCAGCTGCAGGTCACTGGACCGGTGCCCCAGCCACGGCCGCGCCTGGTTCCCCGGGGAAGAGGCGGCTGCTCCCCTTCCCCGCCCCTGCCTCCTGGGGATAATGACACCCTGTCCTCCCCAGCCTCTCCGGAGGCTCCAGCCCGAGCGCGGTCTCCGTGGCGACGGACCCCCCCTCCCGGCCCGGCCCCTTTCTAGGAAGACCTGGGCCCCAGTTTATTGAAAATGTTCGTGTCTCTTTAATTTAAATTCTCTGAATAATGCTCTGTCTTCGTGTAAGATGCAGATGGGCCGCTCCTGGCCGAGCTGGCCGCCCTTGCTGGGTGGGATGGAGATGGTGGCATGCCCAGCGTGGGCGGCCGAGGGGCAGGGCCCAGTGCTCGGGGAGGGCGGCAGGGGGCCCCGGGGGTGCGGGGGGGACCCCGGCCTTGGCAGCGATCTGCGGGGCGGGGAGGCCTGTGGGCCGCCGCCGGCATCACCGCTTGAAGCGGTAGGTGATGGGCAAGAGGAGCTTGCTCTTTTTGAGAGCCTGCACCTTCTTGAGAGTCTCGTCGTCCAGCGCCAGGAAGCAGCGGCGCGAGTACTCCAGCAGGCGCTCCTTGGAAGGGTCGAACTCTCCGACCTCTGCCAGCTTCTCGGGAGCCACAATGAGCAGCTCCGCGATGGGCGTGGTCAGCGCCACCGTGTTCCGGTCCACGCGGTGGTGCTCAAAGGCTCGAGACATGCTCTTGAGCTTCTGGAAGGTGCCCAGGATCTTCTTGTAGCGGCAGAGGACCCCATCGGCGTCCTTCACTGCAGGGCCAGACGGACAGAAAGGAGAACGGGGAAAGACGGCCATGTGGGGACCCAGGGAGAAACAGCAGGGCAGGCGTGAGGAGGAGAGGTGGGGTGAAAGGTACACACACACACACACACACACACACACACACACACACACACACACACACACACACACACGCCCGCGCGCGCGCGCGCGTTAGAAAGGAAGCAAGCGGGGAGAAAATCGAGGAAGGGAAGGGAGAGTAAAACGGGAACAGGAGAGACCAGAGTAAGAAGTGGAGGTGGACCAGGGGGAGATTGAAGAAGGCAGGCCAGGACACCAGAGGAAAGGAGAGGCTGCGCATGCTGGGGAAGGCTAACACCTGTGAGATGGGCCCAGGGGCCTCCTTTCTGAGGAGGAAACAGGACTGGTGTAAACGGAAATTTGAAATTAACTCAGGAGATGGGGCCGAGACTGGTGGTTTTGTATATGGGTAAGTTGGGGCATCGCGGCAGACCTCACACCTCAATAGCAGGTGGACACCCCCCAACAGGCCATCACATGTCCCCACTCACCCCGCTGCCTCTCTCGAGCCTTGGGCTTCCCAAATCGCCGCCGGCCAGTACTTCCCTTGGGCTTCTGCCTCTTCCTTTCCCCGGCACTGCCCTCTTCGGACGCCCCGCTGAAGGAGGAGGCTGCGGACTCCGGGTCTGAAGCTTCTCCCCCAGCCCCAGCCCGGCTGTCCCCATCAACCCTCCGTGGCCCAGGCTTCATCCGGCAGTGGTCCTCTGAGGAGAGACAAAAAATGAACTGTGACACAATGTCCTATCGCTGCCCCGAAGGGAGGGGAAAATGGACCTGGAGGCTAGGTCTTTGGGATGGGGACAGGGTGAAGGCCCAGGGATGAATGACTTAGAGCTAGCTGGGATTCAAGGAGCTCACTGGGCTCTGTGATGATGTGGGGTTTCTGCAGGGGAAACTATCCGGGGGCCTCCAGAGGCAGGCAAGGCTCTGGGTGAGAGGGCTGGATATCAGAGTTCAGTTTGGGTGCTGGAGAAGGCTAACTACCTTTCCCTGAACAGGGAGCCAGCTGAGGCTCAGACTCAGCTTCTTCCAAAGGAGGGACTCCTGAGGAGGACTGAAGTCAGTACCTGGGGAGTCACCCAGGATAGAGCTCTCAGTGTAGGGAGAGGGGACATACATGATGCCATCCCAAAGCTGGGTCCCCAGGAACTGAGACCCCTTCGTCCCTTTGCTGGGGCTTTGACATCATCACCAGCTGGAAAGCCTGCCAGCAGCTCAGCTGGATACAGAGGTTCGGTTCTGGCCTGGTTAAGTTCTCCAAGACCTGAGCTGAAGTCTAAGGAAGGGCAGTATCGAATGAGGAGTGTGGCAGGAAGAGCAGACACTGCCATGACCCTGTGGCAGAGTTTAGGGGACAGCTGAGACACCCCACATACACACACTCTCTCTGAGGAATAAAAACCGTTAGCCAAGCCATACGGAACAGGGTGGTGGGAAACAGACCACTGATTTGTTATTCCAGGGCACCTCTGATGGTTGGAATATAGGATTCAGAAGTCCTGGGGTGTGGGCAGGGCCCCTCCGAGGAATCCGGTGGCCTACTGGCAAGGGGACAAGGGACATTTCCCCTAAGATGAGGAACCTGGGCTGGAAATCCAGACTCGGTTACACCAAGTGCTTGAGGCTAGTGGGTTAGGGACAGTCTATGACAGGGTAGGACATGAGTCTCTGACACCACGAAGGGAATGGCTGGGTGGGGAGACCCTAAAATATCAGGTTCTTAGTGGAAGGATGGCAAGTCCCCATGGTGTCGGCCCAACAGTGGGCTTTGAATCCCCGGGTCCTGGGGGGAACGGTGTGCCCCCGCCCCCACCTGCATCCATCCGGGCTGAGGAAATGAATTTGTCCAGCTGACACCGCAGAAAGTCCCTCTCCTCCTCCAGGTCCTCAATGCGCTTCTGCAACCACGAGTTCCTCTCCAGGGCCATGTGCAGCTGGGCCTTGACGCTGTTCATCAGGGCCAGGGTCGGGGAGGTGGCCTCTGGAGGCTCTAGGGACAACAGCAGGGGTCATGCCCCAGGATGAGGCAGTGCCCCACCTGAGTCCAGTCCCTCCGCGCCCTTTCAGCTCACCCTCACAATTTCTCTGAGAGGGACTCAGACTGTAGAAGATCTGTGAGTCTAAGTGGGGTGCCTCTTCGAAGGGGATGGAGATCTCAAAGGTCTCTTCGTCCTTCACTGGAGAGAGGCCAGTGCAGGTCACCCCAGAAGCGGCCTGGCCCTTTCAGACCACCCCCAACCATAACTGCCCCGTGGAGAGAGGGAACCAGAATGTCGGCCCGAGGATGAGCAAAGGGCCCCCAAGTGCCTCACTTGTCCGCCTACGGTTGCTTCGGTCATTCATAGCGAGGCTTCCAGCAGACCCAGCAGCCGAGCCCTCGGGCACTGGACAGAAACAGGTCACCGAATGTAGTCAGCTCCTGGAGAGGTGGGGTACCTGTTCCTCTGGAGTTGGGAGGGATCACCGGCCTGGAGCCATGGTCTGAGGGAGGAAAGAACCCATACTCCTGGACAGAGACACTGAGGTTTCCAAATCGTGTACCCAGAGCGAGGGGGCTCGGCGAGAGGACTCTTGGTTGTGAAGGAGCTGACCCTTAGATTCTTTGGCTCTTCATGGGGTCAACACCACAGAGACACTTTGGCCTGAGTAGGAAGGACCCTCATCGTGGGCCATCTCCGGACCCAAAGCCATAAATGGAAGGGAGAAACCACCCCTAACTTCCACGCGTGGGGTGGGGGGGTCCATCCTGCAGGCGTCCCCCTGTCCCAGCCGCCCATTCCTCCTGCACTCGTGCGGGCTAGCGGAGCCCCTCCCCCGGAGTGGGGGCTGGGCGCGTGCGCAGTGCGGGGGAGGTCACGCGTGGGGATGCGCCCCCGCCCTTTGTCCCACGGGTGGGAGGGGGTGACCGTGGCAAAAGGTCCCAGAAAGGGCAACCAGCATGGGAGTGGCGACCGTGGGCACCATTCCCCGCCCTTGGGTGCTCAGGGTACAAGGGGCCCGGGGCCCCGCTCTCACCCACCCGCGCAAGGGCTCCAGCCCTGGGACCGACGGTGGCGGCGGCGCCCATGCCCGGCGTTGGGGAGCGTCTGCAAAGTGTCGCGGAGAAGCGCCCACCCACCAGCAAGCGGGCGCAGCGGCAGCGGAGGGGGAGTCTCGGGAGTGAAGGACGGAGCGTGCCGGGACGCAGGCACTGGCGGGATCCGGCCGGCCCGGCCTGGCGCGCCTCTCCTCGGAGCCCAGGTGAGGCCCACCGTTTGCGCGGAGGTCGGGGCCGCACTTGCGCGATAGCCCCTTGCAACCCACCCACCCCCACTCCCCCTCCCTTCCCAGAGCCCAGGCAGGGATCCTCACGAAATTCTCATCCTGCACAGCTGACAACAGGGGTCCTCCGGGTGAGTGGCTGTGTGCCCGGTGGGCCAAGAAAAGTCAGAAGGTATGAGGCAGCAAGGAAAACTGAGGCGAAGCCTGAGTCCCCTTTTAATGATCCCCGGGGAGCTGGCGCACACACACCTCTGGTCCTATATGCCTCAGCCAGCCATAACCCCCAACCCCATCCACGAAAAGGTTTAAAGGAATACGAGAGCCAGATGTGAGAATGGGCTGTGCGGTGGCTGTATCTCCGCAGAGTGTGGGTCAGGAATAGCCGCCTGTGGAACAGTTACACTCCAGTCCCTGCTGCCTCATTCCTCCCTAGCCTCAGTTTACTCACCTGTTAAGTGGGAAGTTGCTCTCTGGGGCCTTTACGCGGATGCAGTGGTGTCACACACCAAAGGCTCAGCCCAGAGAGGGAGCACCTTGGGGCTTAAGACCCAAGCGCGCTCGGTGTTATTTGAAGTCAGGCGGTGGAGAACCCCCGGCTTAAGACACTCCTACTCGCCCCTCCGCCGCGAAAGGAGTCATGTAAGAGGCTAACTGCATCTGGCACAAAACCGGCGTCAAAGGGGAAGGGGAAGACATGTTTATTAGGCCTGCAGCAAGGTTCCACCTGCCTCTCCGCTTCACAAGCAACAGCCTGTCTTATGGTTATGAAGCCTTCCTCATGGAGGCATGGCGTTAACCTTGCAGAGGGAGGCTGAACGTGTCACCAAGAGACAAGCAGCTCCCTCTGCGCTTCACTTTACGAATCAGCTGCAGCCTGGGTCAGCAAGTCCAGGGGGAGCCACCTGCCCTAGATCAGGCTTTCAAACCGCAGAGAACTGTATTTAGGAAGGTGAACTCTAGATTTAAAATATAAGTGTGTCCTGTGCACACTAAAGGTAACTACCGTAAAAATTGTTCCACATACCTTTGGTGTGCTTATGTTCTGGGCTGCTTTTTTTTTTTTTTTTAAGTCTATTAATGTGGGTTGTAATTTAAGTGGGGGAGGGGTGGTGTTTCATATTTCCAAAGGTGCTGGGAATGTACCCTGTCTGTAGGGTGCCTAGCATGCAAAAAGCCCTGAGTTCCAGTACCCAGGATGTGGAGGCAAGGTCATAAGTCTACTGGTACCCTGAGCTACATTACCACCTTGTATCAATAAATAAGTAGATGGCAGGTTTGGAGGAACTGAAGTAGGCCTAACTCCAGAGGAGAAAGGCAAACTTTCCCATTCCCCAGCCAAGGTCTTTGTACCAGGTGGCGAGTGTAAACTAAGATAGCAGTGATTGAGAATGGGGTGTTTATTGGGTGTCTAGTCTAGGGCCCTACCTCCAGTGTCAAAATAGAGGAGACTTTTGACAGCCCACCAAAACTTCTGAGGTAAGAGTTTTCCCAAACAGCATTGTCCTCTATCCCTCCGGTCAGGACTCCAGAACAATATCCCAAGTGTTCAAGATGCAGGGCTGGCCCCTTTGAGGGCTCATTCCCATCATAGCTCCACAGCACCATGATGCACTAACAGCTCAGAGACTCTTCCAGGCAAGGCTGGCGTCAAAGAGGGTTTGTGTCCAGGACCCTGAAAGCCAGCCTGCAACTCAGGCCAGTGTCTGATTCAGGAGACCCAGGATCCCTGGGGTCCCCAGGAACAGTTCATGGATGCTTCCTTCCACCGAGTGTACTTCTGTGGTGTGTTCTGCTCGGTAAAGCAGCACGGGCAATGCAGGCACTGGAATGGGCGTCCACAGATGTGCCGGGCCAACTCACCCTCATCCCGGAAGCGGGGAGGGCACCTGCCCTATGAGTGGTGTGGTGCCGCTCAAGGTGACTGGCCCGCTTGAATGCCTTCCCGCAGGTGTCGCATTTGAAGGGCGTCACCTCGGAGCAGGTGATGCTGTGTCCCTGAAGGTAAGACATGTACTGGAAGACCCTAACGCACACCGGACAGCTGTAGCACTTTTTCTGAACCGAAGTCCCATTGGCCCCGGCCTCCCTCTGTGCCCCTTGTCCACCAGCACTAGGTAGGGGACACCCTGGTGTCAATGAGAAGATATCGCTGAGCCTTGGAGGGAACGAAGCCTGGGGACCCACCTGTCCGAGAGAGGGGCCCCCTCCATGGCCTCAATAGAGGGAAGTGCCTGGGTCTGGGAGCAGCGAGGAAACAGCACCAGCATCCCTAGATGTCAATGAGGTCTGATGGATGGGAGCGAGTATGAGAAGATCTACCGGGGAAGGAAACAAGGACTCCGTTCTTGCTATGTGCTCTGCCCAAGGTCCTCTGCGTTGTCCCTATAAGGCCCCTGGAGTCTCTCTTCTGGGCTCCGCTACCCACTATATTCACGCAGTCGCTTTCCCTCTATAAGTCAAGACCTCAGTCCCCTCCCCCCCGTGCGCCCTCCTGCGGTCACTCTGCAGCCATCCTGCACGACATTTCGTGGCCCTCCGGGACTATCCCGCGCTCTGACCACCACCCGGTCTAAAAGTGGGTCCATCCACTGTGTCTAGGTTCTTCCACTACAGGCCCCACCCGTAGTTCTTTCTAGGTCCGCAGCCCCCGCCTTTGGAGATTTCCCAGCAAGTTTCCGAAAAGCTGCCCTTTGGGACGCGGTCCTACCGGGCTCCGCCCCCTCTGCTGCCGCTCGGGTCTCCATCCCTCCTCCCATGCCTGGTACCCAGTGCAGCAGCGTCTCGGGTCCGGGCGGCCCGCGACAGCCCCGGATTGCGCCCACAGCTGTAGGCGGCAGAGGGACCAGAAACCCTTGGCTACAGTCAGTACCTGGCAGTACCGGGTCTGGGAAATAGGGACTCAGAGAGACAAGGGTCCAGGAGAGGGCGGGTCGTCTGAGCATCAGAAAATAGCCTCCGCTAGGAAACGCACTTAGAGCACAAGGTTCCTAGGTGTTAGCGGTCCGGACCCAATCTCCCTTCTCCCAACATTCAACCCACACGCAAGCAAGAGCCTGAGAGTGAAGTGCGGAATGTTTATTGGGGCAAGAATGAGGGGTCGTGGGCATTAGAGGGAAGTACAGAGATGATCCAGACCGTGCTGGTGCTTTTGCCATGTCTTCCACGAGGACCTCACCTCTTGGCAAGAGTAGAAAACCAAGACTCAGGAGAGGCCGCATCACTTGCAAAGGCGTACACCCAGCACAGCCAGACCGAAGCCCAGTTCCAACTGACACCCAGGCCCAGAGGGGCAACAACTTTGGTCTACATCACACAGCTAGACGGGAGAAAAGACAAAATGATGTTTCTCTTTGGGGGACAGGTGGGGAAACTGAGGCCTAGGGTAAGGCAGTAACCTCAGCAGAACTGGGACTGTGTGGGTGTGACGCTGTGTGGGTCAGACGTGGTGGCCCAGACAGGGCAGGGCGGAGCTCAGTGCAGGCGCACGTGCTGCGCCAGCTCCGAGGCGTCCTGGAAGCGGCGTGGACAGAGCGGGCAGGTGTGCGGTGGGCCAGCGCGCGCGCGGTGGGTGGCGCGGTGCCGCGACAGGTGGCTGGAGCGCTTGAAGGCTTTGCCGCAAGCACCACATGTAAAGGGCTTGAGGTCCGAGTGCGACACGCGGTGGCTCTGCAGCCGTAGAGGGCTGGCAAAGACACGGGCGCACTCTGGGCAGCTGTAGCCCTTGCGAGCACCCGGCTCTCCCGGGGTCGCCTCGCGCTGTGGCGGGCCCCGAGGTTCCTCCTCCAGCTGCACCGTGTACGTGTAGGGGACCCCGTTGGCGTCGATGAGCAGGTGGCGGCCCAGCCGCGGTTGTCGCGGCCCCGCCACCGAGGAAGAAGTGGAGGAGGGGCCTTCCGCCTTGGGAAAAGGGGGAGTCTTGGGGGGCGGTGGGTCCATGACCTCCGGGGAGGAGGACCGAGGGTGGGGTGGCCGCGGCGGCAGCAGCAGCATCTGGAGCGGCAGCTGGGAGCGGCGGAGGGAAGAGAAGTTAAGATCGTCTCTTCCTTTCAGGAAAAAAATTCCTAAAAAGGAAGGTGTTCCTATTCTCTGCCAGACTCTGTGCTACTGACCTACCTCCCTACAAAGTGAAAACTGACTCCAGTCCTCCTCTCTGGGACTCCTCCACCAGGGCTGGGCAACACCCCGCTCCACCCGACTCAGGTCAGAACCTCAGACATCCTCCGGATTCCCTCCGCCCATCCCCACCCACCGCAATCCGTCTCCAAGTCCATTCTCTCCCTTTAGCTTAGGTCCTCTCTAACCTCACATTCCAGGCCCTTGCGGCCTCCGGGATTTTTCTCCCATCTACCGTCCCTCTTTGCTGGAGCTCTACTCAAGCTCTGGCTTAATCCTCTCCCTCGGGTCCCACAACACCCTGGGGGTGGGGGACCTCCACCCCACTCGATGCCCTTCGGGGCCTCCCAAGTCTCCACAGTTGTCGTGGCCTCAAGTTCCCTCCCTAGATACTTGCCCGGAGTCCCACTAACCCAATTCCCCACTTTCCACTCGGGGCTCTTTTATGTTATCCCCACACTCCGCACTTAGAGGTCTCGCCATTCTCTTCCCACATCGTCTCTACTTCATCCTCAACTGCCTTCCTCATATATGCGCCCCCATCTTGTTGCATTTCTTCCTTCACCACCATTCCCAGCCCCCTCCCCTCCCCGGGAAAGTATCCTGACATCTTCTTTCTCCATCCACCGCCGCCACCACCGTGGAGCCTCCTCCCATTTGCAGCCAGACACGGGACCTTCTGGTTTCCCGTTCCCACGCCAGCTCTCCCTAACCTTGGTCCCTCCTCTCCAGATGCAGCTGGCATCTCTTGTCTCTCTTCACCTCCCCGGTCATAAGATGCACGGTCCCGCGCCTGGGGCGCTCTAGCGCCTTGGTCCTCTGAACCACCCGATCCCGTTATATCCCCGGGGCCTCCCTACTCCACCGGCTTCCATAAGGAGCCCTGCCTTCCCGACGCCCCTGTCTCCCAGCCTCACGGCCCCGACCCACACCCAGAGCCCTGCCGGCCTCGCGCCCAGCCCGAGCCAGGCTCCTCCCTCCATCCCGGCCCCCGTACCCGGTGCAGCAGCCTCTCGGGTCCGGGGGAGAGCGGGGCCGAGGTCCCGGACGGACCCGGGCTTGCCCTGACGAGCGCCGCGGCAGGAGCGAGCTTCCGGGTAGCTCCGGGCCGGCGGCGCCGGGGACGCGGGTCGGGGGGCGCAGGGGCGCGAGGGGCGACGGCGTCCCTGGGAAAGAGCGCCGATCAGAAACGCACGCTCCACACACGAAGGTTCCGACGCCGGAGTCGGCCCCTCTAGTGGGAGCGCGCGGTGGGGGGCGGGGGGGAGGTTGGCGCGTGGCCAGCGAGGGGGACCTGCAGAAGAACAGTTCCCCGTTGCGTGCCCCCGTCCTCAGCAAGAGCCGTTCCTTGGCTGTGAATGGCCAGTAAACTGAAGCTTGGCCCCGTGGAGTCTCGCAAACCACCCTTAAAGAATTGGAATGTGCAGTTTGCCATCTTTCCACCCTGCCTCCCTCCCCTTTCCGCTCAGGCAAAGCCACTTAAGGTAGAGGGGTAGAGAAAGGGTGTTCCTGTTGGTTGAGCAAATGGAGAGGCTGAGGTCCAGAGGCCAGATGTTTGCCCTGGCGGGGCACCGGGAAGCCAATGCCCAAAGAAGACGTTGCCAGATTAGGTGAGGTATACGTGCTCCACTGAACATACGGGGAAATAGGCTGGAGAAGAACAGATGTAAGGTAAAAAGGGGCTAGGCTTACAGTGACTCTGTGATAGTCCTTGGCTCTCGGTCGCTAAAATACCTTTCCATACGAGCTGCAACGCTTACACCAGATACTGACATAGAAAGGGAAATGCTCTTGCCGAGCATATGGGAAAACTGAAACCTGGAGCTTTAGGTGTCGAAGTGGGAGCAGAGTTTGAGGTATAGCTCAGTCGGTAGAGTGCTTTACCGTGCCCTCTGGGTTCGATCCTCGGGGTGTAGTAGTATCTCACTCAAGCCTTTAATCCCAGCTCTCCAGAAATGAAAACTGGCCAATCAGAAGTTCAAGGTCATCTTCAGCAACATAGCGAGTTGAAAGCCAGCCTGGGAGACATGACACTCACATGTCTCAAAACAAAGGTCGGGGGGGGGGGGCTGTGATTCTTGCCAGTGACCAGGTGGGGAAAGTAAAGCCCAGAGGATGCCAGACACTCTAGGCACAGGCATGGGACGGTGTATACTTCCCATTGAATACATGGGGAAGCTGAGACTCAGAGAACCAGACTTTCTACGTATTATGCAGTCAAGGAAGCGAGTTTTCCGGAATGGAGAAGAGTGCAGGCAAGGGCACTGGAGCCCTTTGCCCAGTGTAGCCGGCGCTCTGGGCCCTTCGCGGAGGGTCTGAGCATTCACGGTTATGCAGCCTGGACCAGCAAGGACGCGAGAAGCCATTAGGGGTGCGTCGAGCGCATCTAGGACTAAGTGCAGGAACCATGTACTAGAAGTTGAGAGGGAGCAACAGCTGGAAATAGCAGAGCTGTGGTGGTGCACGCCTTTAATCCCAGCACTCGGGAGGCAGAGGCAGGCAGATCTCTGAGAGTTCGAGGACAGCATGGTCTAAAAAGCGTCTTCCAGGACAGGCTCCAAAGCTACACAGAAAAACCCTGTCTCAAAAAACAAAAACAAAAAAAAATGTTAGCTAGTAACAAGCCTGAGCTATTGGCCAAAAATTTATAATTAATATAAGCCTCTGTGTGGTAATTTGGGAAGTGGCTGCTAGGTATTCCAGAACTGGCAGGTGGGAGAGAACCATCTGTTTACACCCATAGACATAAAATTATTTTTTAAAAAAAACAAAGACACTACTGGATGGTATAGCATTTGCTTAGTGTGCCCCAAACCCTGGATTTGGTTCCCCCACCCCCTCAAACCACAGGGGGCAGCCCTGCCTCCTACCTTGGATATGATCATGATAAAGTCTCTATCAAGCTGCACTGTGTAGCATGGGTCAGTTGAAGAAAGAAGGCACTTCAAGATGAAAGGTCCAGCCTCTCTGATGGACTGAACCCCAAACAGCCATACAAAGTCATATTTATTGATTGTTATTCAAAGTATTTCCTCATACCAAGATCCCTAATCTAATTTACATGTCTGACTGAAGGAGAGCATCACATGCCCCCATGACTCTAGTCCTTTATTATTATATATCATTTGCAATACACAATAGACAAAAGCCTCAGGGGTGCCTGAGGCATCTTGTGACCAAAATCATAGAGTGGCTGCAATGCCCTTTCAGCAAATCACTGTTATCTGAAAGGATTCTTCAAGGTCAAAGTACTTCTAGAAAACAGCTGTTCGTTCTTATGTCTACCCCAAATATAGTGACTCTGCTAAATTCCTACAACAATCTCACCAGAAATCAGCATAAATCTAAACCCTTCATGATAAGTAAAAATCCCCCAGTAGTGAGTGTGCAAAAAGTCAGATCAGGCCAAATTAATGAGTCCAGGTTTAATAAACAGAGCAAAGCGACTCCTGGGTGACTCTGGGGGAGGCAGGAGAGAGAGCAGAGGGCAGGTCTGGCAACTGGGTCTCAAATACCCTGTAGGTGTGGTCCTGAGCAGCCCTGGGGGAGGGTCTGGCCCTCAGCGGGCTTTCTTTGGGTGGGGTCTGGATAGGGCAGCTTCAGGGGAGATCCCCAACACTTTAGTATCTCATTTCCCCCCACCCCCAAAAGCCAGACAAATAGGCTTCATCTTCCATCAGATCCATGCCCTGATAGGTTCCACTGTTTGTTTGTTTGGGGATGGGGCGGGGTTGGTGGTAGTAGTGGATTTGGTTGGGTTTGATTTAGTTTTTAGTTTTTTGTTTTGTTTTGTTTTAAGACAGAATCTGGCCGTCCTGGAACTCACAATGTGGACCAGGCTGGCCTCAACTCTCAGAGATCCGCCTGCCTCTGCCTCCCGAGTGCCGGGGCTTAAAGGCGTGCGCCACGCGGCCCAGTCCTCCACTCTGTTTTTGAAGCCGCGGTCCTGGCAGCTTCTCCCCTGGACACCAGTGTCCACTTTCTTCCTAGTGCTGCAGCCTCCAGTGGCCTGATAGGATTCTTTAGACAACTGAATTGAATGTTAAACTTGCACATCCAGAACCTTGTCAGGGGCGGAGAGATGGCTCGGCAGTTCAGAGCACACCATGCTCTTCCAGAGGTCCTGAGTTCGGTACCCAGAACCCACATGAGGTGGCTCACTGACACTAGTTCCCTCCAGGGGAACTGGCCTCTGAGGGCACATGAACACAGGTCACACACACACACACACACACACACACACACACACACACACACCACACACACACAGTCTGTGCCTCCAGTCGTCTGAGCCTGAGGCCATCTGTACTGCTTTAACAGTAGGTAGTGCTCAGGACCCAGGCTCACAGTTAGTTCCCTGGTAGGCTTTGAGCCATATAAAATACAAAAGCAGAGTAGACTGCTTCTGGTAATGACAGCCATTTCCACAGTACTAATTCTGTCAGAACAGGAACATGGAATGTCTGTCTGTCCATCATCTAATCACTACTGTCTTCTTTTGCTTCTCTTTTCAATGTCTTAAAGGTTTTCATTGTGGAGGTCTTTCACCTCCTTGGTTAGGTTAACTCGGAGTCTGAGATACGTTTCTATGTTAAGCTATTGTGAATGGACTATTTTTCCTAATTTCTTACTGGTAAGGCCCATAGGGTCTTTTGAGTGTAGAATCACGTTGCCTGCAAGAAGGGACAATTGGCTTCTTTCCTGTTTGTATCCTCTTTCTGTCTTTCCTTTTGCCACAAGGCACTTGTAAGAAAGCGTCTTATGTAGCTGAGGCTAGCCTTGCCTCCGGATCCTCCTGTCTCCGCTTCCCAAGTGCTGGGGAATACAGGTGGGAGCCAGCACATGTGGCTGCCATCCCCAGGCCCAGAAAGGGAGTCACTTTGCTTTATAGAAAATGTGTTATTGTCTGGGCTGGAGAGATGGCTCCGCTTTAAGAGCACTGACTGCTCTCCCAGAGGACTCAGCTTAATTCCCAGAACTCACGCGGTGGCTCAGAGCTCCGGTGTGGAAGGTCTGACACGTTCCTCTTGCTTCCAAGGGCACTGCACACACGCAATGCCCACACATACATGCAAGCAAGGCAACAAACGTCCATCAAATAAAAATACGACTTGAAGAAAGTCTTTGAATTTGTATTGCCAGCCTGTGTGTGTGTGCACAGGTGAGTGTGTGCACGCCATCGCACACGTGCGGAAGTCAGAGGACAACTTGCGGGCGTTGCTTTTCTCCTTCCATAGTCTGTTCCAAGGATCAAATGCAGGACAGCAGGCAGTGAGCACTTCTACCTGGTGAGCCTTCTCGCTGGCCTGAGTTGCTTGGCTTTGCGCCACCCAGCAGGAACGCAGTTTTCCTGTCTATTATCCGGCCCTGTTGGCCTGAACGTGGGACGCCAACTGTGGAGCTTCCAATAATCACCAGGACCGTAAAGACCAAGTGTGAGCCAGGGCTGATGCCGGAAGCTGTGTGGGAAGCAATGCCCTTCTGGAACGCTGGCACCCTTGAGGGGCTCCCCACTGACTGCGGCGCTGATGTTGCCTTGGGCTCCAGTGTCCCAGGCACAGGCAACTCTCGAGGGCCTTCATATTCCACGGACAATAGAATCTCTCGCCAGCTCAGACCTAGGGATCCAGGGACAAGGGGCTCCTCGACTATACACAGCAGGAGATACCACTCCCACCAATGACACTGTTTTCAAGGCGGGGGGGGGGGATAGAGAAGACAGAAACCACGGAGAACAGAAGAGGTGAAAGAGAGGAGGCCTCTGGCACCATCAGGAACAGGGTGGGCAGAAGTTTGGAATCTGGAGCTTGAAAGGAGAAAGGGATTAATTAAAATTCCCTCTGCCAGGCGTCCCACGCCGCTGCCTCCCCTGGCACCTGTGGGTTTCCAGCGTACCCCACAGTTGGGGTCAACCATTCGATCTGGCAACCATGCTGCCGTGGCTGTGCAGCCTCCCAGGCTGACTCGGGACACCCTGGGGAGGATCCGGGAACAGTGACTACTAATCCAGCCCCATACCAACGGCCACACAGTCACTCTTCCCGGAAGCACTAGAACATGCCACTAAGTCAGCTTTGTGGGGCCTCTGAACCATGTGACTCTTGGGGGACCAGCATAGGAAGCCTGTGCTGGGTTGTGTAGCCCTGGCTGTCCTGAAACTCACTCTGAAGACCAGGCTGACCTTGAACTCACAGATCTGCCAGCCTCTGCCTTCCCAGGGCTGGGATTAATGGCATGCGCCACCACCTCCCAGCTACTTTTTGTTTGTTTTTGTTTTCTTTGTCAACTTGACACAAGCTAGAGTACACTGGGAAAGGGAATCACAGTAGAAAAGATGTCTCCAGTAGACTGGTGAATAGAGATCCTAATCAGTCTAAACAATAGCAACCAGAGTCAGGAGTGGAGGGTGAAAGCTGAAAGACCAGAGAGCAGAGCAGCCCTCCACTAAAGACGTCTTACCTCTACGAAATCTGTCTCCACCCGCCTTATATTCCTGTCTCCACCTCCCTAGTGCTGGGATCAAAGGCATGAGCCACCACCACCTGGCTCTGTTTCTCTTTTAGACTGGTTTAATCTCCTGTAACCAGAGTGGCCTTGAACTCCTGATCTTCCTGCTTCCTCCTTCCCAAGTGCTGGGATTAAAGGTGCGATTAAAGGTGCGTGTCACTGCCGCCTGGCCTCAATGGTTAACTAGTGACTTGCTCCGTCCTCTGATCTCCAGGCAGGCTTTATTTGTCAGAACACAAACAAAATATACAAGAGATTGGCCAGGAGGCAAGTTTGTGGGACTTTTTTTTTTTTTTGATTGATGACTGATGGGGGGGGGGGCTCTCAGGCCACTGTGCGTGGTGTCACCCCTGAGCAAAAAGTCCTGGGATGTATAAAAAAGCAAATGAAGAAGCAAGGGAATCAAGCCAGTAAGCAGCCTCCTCCGTGGCCTCTGCTTCAGGTCCTGCCGTGAGTCCTGCCGTGACTTCCCTCCATGACGGACTGTAAGGTGAAATAAGCCCTTACTTCCCTAACTTGCCTTGGTCACGGTCTCTGCACTGGGAAGCACACTGGACAAAACCCAAGCTGATTGTCATGAAACTTCCCCATAAAGGAACTCTCTCCCAGGCCTTATGGGGGTGACAAAGTTCAGACTATTAAAACGTTCCCTCCATTTTCACAGATTGTGAGATTCAAATTCAAAGACTTAAGGATCAGGCTGGTGAGATGGCTCGTGGACAAATAGACGGTCTTGCTGCCAACCCCAGAGCCTGTTTGACACCCGGCCTGAGTTTGACAATAGACTCACATGATGGAAGAAGAGAACTGACTTCCACAAGCACACCATGGCACGCATAAACACGCAATTGCACACACACACACACACACACACACACACACACGCATGCACGAATGGATTTTTTAAATGTTTTAGTTTAGAAACAAGACCGCTTCCTCAGTGAACGGTTACCGGCATGTGAAAAAGGACCCACAGGTGGAGAGTCCCTGGCCCTCGGGGTTCACAAGGTTGAAGAGCCGCGTTTAGATGAAGGACAAGGTGAAACTACAAACTACGTGGGCCTTTCATTCCCTACTTGTGCAGAGCACTACACATCCATGAGGAAACTATCTCCTCACTCCCACAATATACATAACTGCTCCCTTGTAGCCCAGTCCGGGCTCAAACCTGCAATCTTCTGCCTCATTATCATAGACACCACCTAACATAGCTACTGAATTTTTTTTAGCCTTACTTGGGTTTGTTTTGTTTTGGGCTTTTTAATTTTATTATTTTATGTATGTTGGTGTTTTGCCATGGATATTGGGTCCTCTGGAACTGGAATTACAGACAGTTGTGAGCTGCCATGTGGGTGCTGGGAATTGAACTCAGGTCCTTTGGAAGAGCAGTCAGTGCTCTTAACCACTGAGCCATCTCTCCAGGCCCTGTTTTTGGCTTTTTTGAGACAGGGTTTCTCTGTGCAGCTTTTGGAGCCTGTCCTGGAACTCACTTTGTAGACCAGGCTGGCCTCAAACTCACAGAGATTTATCTGCCTCTGCCTCCCGAGTGCTGGAAATTAAAGGCATGCACCACCGTGCTCTGCTTTATTTTTTAATTGGGGATATATGCTGCTGCTGCTGCTGCTGCTGCTGCTGCTGCTGCTGCTGCTGCTGCCGCCGTCACGTGAGTGCCCTGCCGGGAGCACTAGCAGGAGACATGTTGCTAAACGACATTTATTGGTAGGCAGGGCAGAGTGTGTGCCATGGCACTTGTGTGGAGGTCAGAGGACAACCTGGGAAAGTCAGTCCTTCACCTTCTACCATGTGGGTCCCAGGGATTGGACCAAGTCATCAAGCATGGCAGCAACGACCCTTACCCACCGAGCCATCTCCCCAGCTCTGGAAACCTTGCTTCTGATAGCGGCTGTATGGATTCAGCTTGACCTGACCGTATCCATCTTGGTAACAACCATAGCTGCCCCAGAGCAAGCCTTGGTTTTCCTTGCAGGCTCTCAGTGAACTACAGACGCACCAGTAGAGTAGCGTGTGGAGTTTCCTCGTCAGGGAGAGACCTGGCCCTTTGATATTAGCTGAAGCTAAATCAGACACAATCCACGCTAGATGGGGTCCTGTTCCTGCTGATGCAGATGCTGCTCACTCTTCTCTCGGCATGTCCCCCCAATATATCCCACTCCATGGAATCCTGGATCCATCTGCAGTCTCATCACAGCCCTTGGAGCTGGCTCTCATATACTAGTGTGTATTTCACTGCCAAGTCAGTCACAGCTGTATTGGACAGACAAATACACAGAAGACAGATAAACAGACAACTACAATGCAAGATGGAGAAACAGCGCCACTCGGGTGGCAGAGGCAGGTGGAGCTCTGTGAGCTCCAGGACAGCCTAGTCTACTTATCGAATTCCTGGCCACCCAGGGCTACACAGGGAGATCCTTCAAGTGGTCCTGGGAGATGGTGCTACAGGTAAAGGTGAGAGCCAACAAACCCGATGACCTGAGTTTGACCCCAGGACCAACGTCGTGCAAGGAGAGGATTGACCTCTGGACGTTATCCTCTGACCACCACACATACCCCTTAGGACATGTGCACTCACACAAACACACACAAACTAAATGAATAAAAACATGATTTAAAATATTTAAAGTCACCAGGCTGTGGCGGCGCATGCCTTTAATCCCAGCACTCGGGAGGCAGAGCCAGGAGGATCTCTGTGAGTTTGAGGATGTGTATGGGTGTTTTCCCTGCATGTATGTCTGTGTGCCACTTGCATATCTGGTGCTCAAAAAGCCTAGAAGAGTTATCAGATGTCATAGAACTAGAGTTCAAGATGGCTGTGAGCCACTGTGGGAGTGTCGGGACTCAAAACTAGGTCTAGAAGAACGGCCACTGCCACCCCCAACCCCCACCCCATACAGGGCTTCTCTGCATAGCCTTGGCTGTCCTGGAACTCACTCTGTAGACCAGGCTGGCCTCGAACTCCCAGATGTGCCTGTCTCTCTGCCCCCTGAGTTCTGGGATTAAAGGCACATGCCACCACAGCCAGGCACAGCCAGTGTTCTTAACTGCTAAGCCATCTCTCCAGCCTCTGAGATATTCCTTTTTAATATAAAAATTTGTTGTTTGTTTTTGTATTTTGAGACAGGGTCTCATAATCCAGGCTAGCCTTGAACATACCTGTGTAGCTGTTATGGAGTTCAAGACCCCTGGGAAAAGACCAGAGGCTCAAGCTGGATTATAATTGGTTAAATTTCTTGAAGCTCAAAGCAAGACAGCCATCTCTGAATCAAACTAGAGACTGCCACTCGAAGTAGTGCGAGGGAAGGATTTTTAAAGGCAGAAACCACAAGAAGACTTTGAGTATCTGCACAAGCAAGCCAAGAGCTGTTCTGCTCTGCCAAGATTCAAGGTGACCTCAAAATAGTCCTTGACTGTCTGCCTAGGCAGGTTACAGAAGCCAAACAAACAGTTGTACAAGAAGATGGTCGCGGCTGTACACTGCTGGGGGGGGGGGGCACTGGGTACCAAGATGGATGCCTAGCATGAATGGAGTATGATTTTTGTTGGTTTTGTTGTTGTTGTTGTTGTTGTTGTTTTCCCCTGGGTAGCCCTGGCTGTCCTGGAACTCACTCTGTGGTCCAAGCTGGCCTTGAACTCACAGAGATCCACCTGCCTCTGCCTCCTGAGTGCTGGAATTAAAGGCGTGTGCCGCCACCCAGCAAAAATGAATCTTTTAATAAATTAACATAAAATGTTAAGATCACTATAATCCTATGCTGTTAAATAATTCTATATTGTTAAAGACAATAAAGGGCAGGGTTCTGTTGAGAAGCCCCTGCCCACGCGTGAGTATGTTTTCTCTTTTTTGTGTGCCTATTTCTCCTAATTCTTGTGCTTAAATTCTATTATCAGCAGGGCATGGTGGCATGTGTCGCTCTTGTAGAGGACCGGGATTCTGTTCCTGTCATCCACAAGGTGGCTCTCAACCAGGCATAACTCCAGTTCCTGGGGATATGACGCCCTCTCCTGCCCTTCTCTGGCACCAGGCACACACCTGGAGCACACACCTACATCCAGGCAAAACACTCATACACCCCTTTAATCCCAGCATTGGGAGGCAGAGGCAGGGGGATCGCTGAGTTCCAGGACACACGGAGAAAGCCTGTCTGGGGAAAAAAAAAAAAAACACAAAGCAAAACAAACCAAAAAAAAACCCATATATACAAAGTAAGATCAATAAATCTTTCTTAAAATTGGGGGGGGGTGGTGGAAATGAACAGTCTTTTAACATTGAGACTCTGGAAAAGGCTGATGTTGTAACCCACAGAGAAAGACAAATTCTGAGCTGAGGAAGGGGTGTTGGAGACTGAGGACGTAAGTTATTACTGTGTGGATCACGGTGTCTCTCTCCTTTCTCTCTCTCTCTCTCTCTCTCTCTCTCTCTCTCTCTCTCTCTCTCTCTCTCTCTCTCTCTCTTGAACAAACCTTTTTGTTGTTGTTATTTTGAGTTCAGCAAAAGCTCCTGATTTTTTATTGTCTTCATACCAAAATCAGCTTAGAACTGGATCTCGTGGCCCTTTCTCTCCTTATCTCCTCCCAGTTCAAACCGTTTGCATCTCTTAACAGCCAGCATTCTCTTGAATGCCGTGAATTTCAGAGAGGATTTCAAAATACGAAAATAACACCAGCACTAGTTCTCACGTGCTGCATGCTGTTACAAAGGGTATCTTGCTCTGTACGTGGTTTCATTTCATTGCTCTGAGTGGTAACAGAGAATCTGTCCTGCTCAGAAACATTATCCCCCCCCTTTTTTTTTCTTTGTAGCCCAGGCTGGCCTCAAACTCAGAGATCTGCCTGCCTCTGCCTCCCCAGTGCTGGGATTAAAGGCGCTTCCGCCACCAGCGCTGCCACCACAACCACCACCAGAAAACCTTATCTAAAAGCTGGGCTTGGGGATGGCCCAGGGTATGGGAGCATTGGCTGTTCTTCCAGAGAACTCCAATTTGAGCCCCAGCTCCTACATGGTGGCTCACAACACCCTGAAATTGCAGCTCTAGGGAATCTGACCCCCTCTTCTGGTCTCTACAGGCACCT